TTATTTCGAAATTGTCTCAAATTATTATTTTTTTCATGGTAGAGAAATATATATTTTTTACTTTGACCTTATTATTATTTATTTACTTTAATTAATTATCTCATCATAAAATGTCTCTCTTCATCTTTTATTTCTTTTTAAGGATAACATAAGTAAACATAAATTATCTTTAAATTTTTAATTTTAAAAAATAAAAAACATAATTTATTTTGAAAAAGAGAGAGTACAAATAAAAATTAATCTTTTGAACTAAATAAAACAGAAATGGTATAATTTTATCTTATTAATGACAATGATATTTTTTAGTTGTTAATCAAAATTAAAATATATAGATTTATTACAAAATTTAAAATAAAAAAAATCTTATTAGAAAAGTGAAAACATTATTAAGATGAACAATTAGAAAAAAAGAAACAAAACAAAAAAAAAAAAGGGAAGAAATACAATTTTCCAAAACTGCATATGCCACACAACTAGTGTCACATAAGCATGCTCATGAGATTCCGTTAAAAAAACTACGGGAAGTTTATTAGATAGATTAATTTAAAATGATTTTCAAAGCTTATGGATGAATATGAAAGAAATAAAAATTTTTAAACTAAAATAATAACATAATAATAGTTAGTCACACGTTAAGAGTTATAAATATATATAAAAAATATAAAAATTAACATTAATTTCAAAATTATTATTATTTAGATAAATTTAATTTAAAAAATAATCAATTAAATACCAATATTTTTTTTTAAAGGTTCTTAACTTATGCCCTCGTGACACAAGTTAGAAAAATCTAATTATATTTGGTAAAAATTTACTTTAAGTCTCTCACTTTATTAAATTTGAAGGTTTTAACTATTTACTTTATATTATAACTTTTTAAATCCCTCATCTTATTAGAGTTATAAGTTTTAACCCTTCACCTATTAAAATTGAAGAAAATAACTCTCACTTTATATTGATTGTTAACTCTATTAGCTGAAAATAGATTTTTGTCAATTAATAGTCAACTAATAACCAGTTAACAGAATTAACAAAATATTATAAAATTAATTCTGTTAACTCTGTTATTTGAAAGAAGGTTTTTATTAGTTAACAGTCAATTAATAGTCAATTAATAAAATTAATAATCAGTTAATAGAACTAACAAAATGTTATAAAGTGGAGATTATTTTATTTAATTTTAATAGGTAAAAAATTAAAAATATAACAGTATAAAGTGATGGATTAAAATTTATAAATTTAATAAAATCGAAAGTTAAAAATATTATAATATAAAGTGAGAAGTTAAAGTTGATAGGATGCGGGACTAAGCAGGCTCTTGCCATTATATTTAGCCTAGTTTAACCGTAATATTACCGGGACATATCCTCTTGTTTCACTGTCTCACTCAACTCTGGCGGTGGAACCTAATTTCCTTTGTTCTCTTACTGTGTAGTGTGTACGTACTGCTTTTCTGGTGAAGAACCGAAAATTGCAAAAGTTAAAATAAATAAATAAATAAATGAATAAAGGAGGTTACGGGGGGAGAAGCATCTCTCTTTTTCTTTGGCTGGAGAACGGTAGTAGCTTCTTTCATCGAATATTTGCTTTCTCTCCTCTCAATTTCTCTGCGCACTCTCTTTCAACTTTCTTTGCCCTAAAGCTCTAGATAGAAAGTTGAACAACTCGTGAGTTTCGATCACTATCCTATCTGGGTTCTGATTACTCTATATGTTTCTGTATCCATTTTTTTGTTAATTGTGTTATGGGTTTCGATCTGATGCTCTTTTTGTTTGATTTCGTTTTTTGAGTTTTGATTATTGGGTCGTTTTTCCTCACTTACATGTATGTAGTTTCATGTAGACGTTGCTTCCACTTTTAGACCTATTCCTGTGGTTGCATACCCTTCTGGGATTTAGTTCCTGTTTTATTTATTGTTTTGTTAATATTAGGAAATAAGATTACTTTGATACAATTGAGTATTGTAACTGAATTGAGATCAAACTTTAGGAGTACAGGTAGTGGTTATTGACTTGAATTTCATCTGGGTTCATTCTAAGTTGGTTTTTTTTTTTTTTTTTTTTGGGTCTTGGGTTGCTGAGTAGCGTTGGTAAAGCGGTGTCCTTTTGTAATGGGGAAGGGTTCGAAGAGCAACTGCAAGTCAGCATCACATAAACTTTTTAAGGATAAGGCTAAGAATCGTGTGGATGATCTACAAGGGATGTTTTTGGATCTGCAGTTTGCCAGGAAGGAAAGCCGCTCTACTGATGTTGTAGTGCTTGAGGAGCAAGTCCATCAGATGCTCCGTGAATGGAAATCTGAGCTCAATGAGCCCTCTCCAGCATCTTCTTTACAACAAGTTAGTACCAAGCAGATAGATTTCTTTTTGACTTACTTGTTTAAGTTGATGGGCATATCTTCAAGGATCCTGAGTTCGTGTGTGTTTGAATTTTGAAGCTGATCAAAATGTGAATTTGCTGTCACGTTTATGTAATGGCTGTGTTATTACTGTCTTAGTGTTTATGAACACATATTTGTTTATTATAACTAAAATATGCATTGACGAATAAGAGGTTGAAACATGTGATTGTACAATGTGTAGTTATTGTTTGATCTTCATGGGTGATTTGCAGGGTGGTAGTCTTGGACCTCTTGGTTCATTTTCTTCTGACATTGGTCGGCTCTTGCAACTTTGTGAAGAGGAAGATGATGCAACTAGTGCACTGGCTGCACCAAAGCCTGAACCTAATGATCAAAATCTGCAGGTTGCAGATGCTGGTGTTTTTCAAGAGGTGGGTTTCTTTCTGTCTTTTCTCTCTCCTGTGATCTTTATGTGGGTTCTATTGATTAGTTTGCAGTCTTTGGTTTCCATTTTTCTTTGAGAATTTGCATGTTAGCCTAAGGACAAGTTTCTTGAATACCTTTAAACCAACATGATTTTCTGCTTGAGCTTGACATGCTGCTAATCTTCAATAGAAGATCTTACCTTTTATTGGAAGGTATTAGCAATTGCATTTGCACGGCTGAACCAAACTTGTGGGTTCATGTAGTTTTAAGGTTCTAAGATATGGTGTATCAGAGAAATTAATTATGGGAGACTTTGCTTCTCAATGAATATTTTTCATTTTTTTTTTCTTTGCACTTTAGTATGCCTTTAGTTGTTTAGTTCTTGTTGTCTGAATTTAACTAGAACCATTATAAATAATTTTGGTTATCTTAACAGATAGTTTTTGAGTTTCTAGGCTTTCTTAATATTAGTGGTTAGGCTGTTTAAGATATTTTGTTTTTAGATTAAAAAAATTCTCATTTATCTTTATAGAATATTCACATCATAAATCACACCAATTGAGATGTGTTGTCATCTGCATACCATCTTACCGTATCATGTACTTAGGTGATTGAAACTAATCTGGTCATGCATCTTCTATGGAGAAGTGATGTAAAGATTGGTGTTCATGCGTGCTCATAAGTGATGCTTTGTTCTTGCTAGTGGGCCTAAATGACCCCAGGCTACGTTCTTGGTTCAGTATAATGTATGAAGGTGAAAAGGTTGATCATTTGATGAAAATTTCCCTCCCTTTTGAGAAGGGATGATCAAAGTGGATATTAAGCATGGTTGTCTTCACCTTCCTGATGTTCAACTTGATGCATATCTTCACCCTGCTTTTGAGTTTGACTTCATGTTCTTTCAACCTTGTGATTGGAGAGAAAATTGGCTTAGTTTGTGGGTTCATGTAGTTTTAAGGTTCTAAGATATGGTGTATTAGAGAAATTATAGGAGACTTTGCTTCTCAATGAATATTTTTAATTTTTTTTTCTTTGGACTTTAGTATGCCTTTGGTTGTTTAGTTCTTGTGGTCTGAATTTAACTAGAACCATTATAAATAATTTTGGTTATCTTAACAGATAGCTTTTGAGTTTCTAGGCTTTCTTAATATTAGTGGTTGGGCTGTTTAAGATATTAGTGCTTGTGCTCATAAGTGATGCTTTGTTCTTGCCAGCGGGCCTAAATGACCCCAGGCTAGGTTCTTGGCTCAGTATAATGTATGAAGGTGAAAAGGTTGATTCTTTGATGAAAATTTCCCTCCCTTTTGGGAAGGGATGATCAGAGTGGATATTAAGCACGGTTGTCTTCACCTTCCTGATGTTCAACTTGATGCATGTCTTTACCCTGCTTTTGAGATTGACTTCATGTTTTTTCAACCTTGTGATTGGAGAGAAAATTGGCTTAGTTGGTATGTCACTATTGTTCTACTTGTGACAGTCTTGGATTTTCTTTCAACTTGGTTTCTCTAGTGGGCTAATTGTTGATATATTTCCTTTTTCTTTGGCATGCCATAAGTGTTGAAAAGAGATATTTAATGATTATGAATTTTGCGATTGCTTGTTTCAGAATTATGCAGTGAATCAAGGGCAAGAAGAACATGGCCTTCCATTAGTTGATCATTGCAAAGACTCCCCTTTAGGAGCCCACACTGTACCAGTCAACAAAGTTGAAGGAGCTATTCAAGTGAACTACCATCATTTTGACTTACATCAGGACTTTGTGCATGACTTCTACCCTGGTTTCACCAATACAGATTTCTCTGGGGATGAAGCAGTGATATCTAGCTATCTTCCAAGTGTCTGCCCACCAACTTCTGCATTCCTAGGTCCTATGTGTGCACTTTGGGATTGTCCTAGGCCCGCTCATGGTTTGGACTGGTTTCAGGACTATTGCAGTAGCTTTCATGCTGAGTTAGCATTAAGTGAAGGGCTGCCTGGAATGGCTCCAATTGTACGACCTACTGGGATAGGCCTCAAGGATGGTTTGCTCTTTGCTGCTCTAAGTGCAAAGGCAGAAGGAAAAGATGTTGGTATACCAGAATGTGAGGGTGCTGCAACTGCAAAGTCTCCGTGGAATGCTCCTGGTAAGTTAATAAAATATTGGCTTCAGTTTTGGTGGTTACATTTTTTAGTGAGAACAGAATATAGTCTCTATAAAATACTATGTTTTTGTTACCTTTGAAATGTCAATTAATTTTCTTATCTGATTGCAGAGCTCTTTGATCTTTTGGTTCATGAGGCTGAAACAATAAGGGAGTGGCTCTTCTTTGATAAGCCTAGAAGAGCATTTGAGAGTGGGAACAGAAAGCAGAGGTCTTTGCCAGATTACAGTGGACGTGGCTGGCATGAGTCAAGAAAGCAAGTCATGAATGAGTATGGAGGTCTGAAGAGGTCTTATTACATGGACCCACAGCCACTGAACCATTTTGAGTGGCACCTCTATGAATATGAGATCAACAAGTGTGATGCTTGTGCTCTGTATAGGCTAGAATTGAAGCGTGTAGATGGGAAGAAGGGTGCTAAAGGTAAATCAACAATCGATTCAGTTGCTGATCTGCAGAAGCAGATGCGAAAGCTCACTGCAGAGTTCCCATCTGATAACAAGCGGTTTGTGAAGGGAAGGGCCAAGGTTAATGCAAAGGCTGGTGGCACAAATCTTTATCCCACAACTAACGTGGTGGCACCAGCAAACGAAAAGTTTGACTATGATCTTGGTGTTCAGTATGATTATTTTGTTGACAATAGCAGTGATCGCTACCTGACTTAGTCCAAGAAACAGGAGGTGGAAGTGGTTGCATTCCACAAATCTAGTTATATAAGCTGAAGCATTTTAATTCATAGGAATAATGGGGATTATGGGTCTTCACTACCATTCTGCAGTTTTGGATCACCAGAATCATCAAGCTCTTAATTTAATGGTAATAAATTCATGTATAGTTGTCACATTAGGCAGCCCTAGCTCGAGCCCATTCTGACCTTTTGGAAGATTATCTCCAGCGACAGAAATGACTGTTTTTACTCGTCCATTGAGATTGGTGAGCGCTAGGAATTTGTACCTATTGTTTGGCTTTCAAAATTATGCTGAATCTCTCAGCTGCTATGAAGACTTCTGAGTTTGTTCCTGCTTATGTATGATCGATGAAATACCACTAAATCATCTACAATGAAATTGTAAATTTCTTAAATATATCAATCGTTCTACAATTTTATGCATCTTGTTGTGACCTGCATTTTACTTCAGATAGAGCAAACTAAAAGAATGAAGTGGACTGTGACTGAATGTAACCTTTTCCCTTTTTCATCTCATTGATGGCAATTTTTATCTAACACAGTTTAAGAGAACATTCAAGAATAATAGCAGTACAAATCATACAGGGGATGGCAACACACATCATAAGAGGGCAAGAAAATTAATTGAAGATGCTAAACTTAACAGGTGCATCCTTACAAAGACTGGGATCACCTGATTATTGGTAATCTTTTAATACTTGGCATCTGAAGCAACTAGTATATCACACTGCATAGGCTCATGTAATTATAGAACTACAATATCCTAGAAGATTACTAGTTATATATCATACACAACTAAGCATCATCATCTTCGGGGTTGTTAACCCGCTCACATTCATCAATCCATTCGCTGTATCTGTGAGTTAAACATAAATGAATAAGTTAAAGCAGAAAAGAAGAAAAAGGAAGGTTCATATTGATGCAGAAAGGAGGAACAAAGAAGGTTCATATTGATGTGACATAGCAACTTACATGTCTATTGGTTCGGTTAAAGCTGCAAACAAAGAAACAAAATGTAACACTCGGGTCATCATCCAAAGACATGCAATTTAATTTCATCAAATCTATGACAAATTAAGTTTTCTACCAAAAAAAAAAAAAAAAGAAAAGGGCCATCAGCGTAAAAGAATTACCTGTAACAGTAGTGCTGAAATTCTCTTCACAAATTCTGCATGAAGCCTCACCAATAAGGTTCTTCATATCACTGAAACAAGACAACTCCAACCATCAGTATCATGTAACCACAACTTAAAGATCTAGGACGGTCCTTCAAATTTGATTTCATAAAACTGGTTTTTAAAATTTTTTAATTCTAATGATTTTCTTTCGCGTGATGCATAAACTACCTTTTATTAAATAAAATGCAAAACACCTTATGATACAAGATGCATTCCATCGTTTCTATATGGGATTACAGAAAATCAGCACATTACGAAGACAATTAAAATGTTAGGAATTATAACGAAAAGACGTAAATAAAAGATTTAAATATCCTTAATAAATCAACACTTCAGAAAGATTATTAAGATATTTGAACAATTTCATAAATGTTTAAGATATTTTAAACGCTAAGACAATTTTCACTTTTCTCTTTTTGTATTCTCACATGACCAAAAAAAAAAAACCCAACTTCAACATACTCATATCAATGATATTCCTTAAATCATCTAAAAATCAGAGGTGACATAACCTATGCATTTCCTAGGGAATCAGAGACTCACATTTTGCACTCAACGCTGGTGCCATGGTTGCAAAAGGGGCAACTGAAAACAGTGTCGAGCTTGTCAATCCTCTTCCTCGGAGGCGGCTTTGCTTTTGACTTCCTCTTTCCCATACCTCAATTCCTTCAGTACCAATAACACACAAAATCAGCTAAAAAAAGACGCAAATCTTCACATTCACCTCAGATATAAATTCTAAAAGAATCAATAATTCCACCACAATTTGTTACAATAAACCGGATTTTATTAAAAAAAATTGAACTGAAAAAACAATCCGGTAAGCAAATCCTGCAACTACGAATCACAAAATCGTGCTAAGATCGATCAAAATCTGGTAAAAAAAAAAAATTCGAAGAGAAACGGAAATAGATAAGATCCGAATTCCACTGGAGGGAGAGGGAGAGAAGGATTCAGCATACCTTTGAACGATTATGGTTGCGGCGCGGAACAGAAGAAACCCTAGCATTGTGATAATCCGAGAGGGAGGGGGTTTATATAGAGTGGGAGATGTACGAAATGGTATTTTCCTTTCTACGGCGGTGAGTGGCCGGACGATGACGTTTTGCGCTGGACCTCCATTTTTCCCTCTGGAACGGCGAGGTGGCGCTCTCCCGCTCGGTATTCAATAACGGACTTCTGCTATTTATTTATTATTATATTATTACTTTTTTATTTTAAAATGGAAGAACTAGCCGGCCCATATGGCTTTCGACCCAAGGGATCCACTTGGCCCTTTAAATCTTGGCCCACATCGATATTCAGCTAACCTGGGCCTAATCTTCAATCTCAACCTATAATTGGAAAGGAAAAAAATGTTTATAATTAAAGTTATATTATTTTAACATTTTTTAAAAAATTAAATAAAATATTTTAAAATTAGAGTTCGTACTTATTTGCTTATCTTTTACATATAAAAATATTTATTTTAAAATTATATAATTTTAA